CTAACTATCCCCCCCTTCCACTCTGTAAAAAAATCAATAAAATATATTTTAAAAAACGAAAGGACCTATACTGAAAAGTAGTTACAGTGCAACATACCGAGTACAATAGTAAAAGTGTGTACCATGTGTATGGAAGAGCAATAGATAAATTAAAGCTGGTCTAGCCCTAGCCGGTTTGGCTCAGTGGAGAGAGCCTCAGCCTGTGGACTGAAGCGTCCCCACTCATGATTCAGGGGCATGGCCACTCCCAACAGAGACATGCTCTCACACACACTCACTCCTGGACCCCAATGTCCCCTGGGGTGCTTCTTGGCCTAGAGGCAGGAGCCTTGGCAGCTGGCTTCATCCCTGCCCATCCTCCTAGTGCCCAGGGAGCCCATGGCCCCTCTGGGACTTCTTTTTCCCTGAGGGGGGTAGGATGGGGAGGGGGACAATGCTCCAGGGTAGTGGTGGCGGTGCTGGCAGGAGAGGACGTAGAGGGGGCTCCATGGGCTCTGGTGGGCCCGGACGGGGCCGGAACCCCTGAAAGGGTGAGAACTTCAGGGGGCGGATGGGGGTCCGGGGGCTGCTGTTGAGGCGCCTGGGGGAGCGCAGCTCGGGCTAGAAGGAGAAGCCCTCCTTGATGCCGTCCAGGACGGAGGGCGCCACGTACGTGAAGCCCAGGAAGGCCTGGTTGGCGCTCTCACTGAGGGCCATGTCATCCGGACTGTCCACTGGTGCCTGCCGCGTGAAGCGGGTGTCAAACTGGCTCACGTCCTCTTCTGATTGCAGACAGGGCCTGAAAGGGGGGTCCACGCGGCAGGCCAAGAGATCATCCCAATGAATGTGCCGGAAGAAGGGGTGCCTCTGTACATCGGCAGCGTCCCCTGGGCCACCTCCGATCCGCTGGCTGGGATTCCGCTTCAGAAACTTTTGGACAAGGTCCCGGGCATCCGGGGTGAGGTAGAGGGGCAGCCTCAGCTTCCCTTTGATGATCTTGTCCATGGTTTTCCTCCGATTCTCCGCAGTGAAGGGTGGCGATCCAGTGAGCATCTCGTACATCAGGACGCCCAGGCTCCACCAGTCCACCGCCCGGTTGTGGCCGCAGCGCACCAGGATCTCAGGGGCCATGTACTCAGTGGTGCCACAGAAGGTGTGGGTGACAGCACCCTCGCGAATGGACTCCTTGCAGAATCCGAAGTCCGTCAGTTTGATGTGGCCCTGGCTGTTGAGCATGATGTTCTCGGGTTTGAGGTCCCGGTAGACGATGCCTTGGGAGTGGAGGTGGCCCAGGGCCAGTGTGACCTCTGCCAGGTAGAAACAGGCCGTGTCTTCCAGGAAGATGCCCTCTCGCTGCATGTGTGTGAAGAGCTCGCCGCCACTGAGGCACTCGAGGACGAGGTAGAGTTTGCCCCGGGTCTGGAAGGCATAGGCCAGCTCCACAATGAAGGGGTGCTTCACCGACTCCAGAATGCGTCGCTCAGCCCGGGTGTGCGCCACGTCCTTGGCGCTGCGCACAATCTGGTCCTTCCTCAGGACCTTCATGGCATATACTTTGCCCAAGTTGGTGCCCTGCACCTTTCGCACCTGGAACACCTTGCCATAGGCCCCGGTGCCCAGCACACGCAGCAGCTCAAAGCAGCGGGGCCCCAGGCGCTCGGAGCCGGGGTTCACACTGGTCTCGGTCAGCTCCACCTCCTCACAGTGCCCCACGGGCTCCAGGTCAGCCGTCCTCAAGTCCCCGAGGGCACACGCATCCGCAGGGCTGAACTCCAGCAAGCCCTCGCTGCCTGCCTCGGTCTCCAGGTCCAGGTCCAATGCGGCCGCCATGGCGGCGCCGGCCCCGCGGGACCCTGGGTGCGGACCAGCGGCTCAGTGACTGACAGCCAGGCCGGGCCTCAGTGGTATCTCTCCGCGACGTCGATGGCGGCCGGCCGGTGACGCAAGCACACCCCGGTATCTGGGCCTGCTCCTCTGAGTCCCTGAAGCGCACATCCAAGAAGAGTCTCCAAAGCCAGTCTCCTACCAGTGAAATGCTTAGTAATGTGAGCGGGGCCTATATCTACCACTAGGAGGGGGAATCTCTTTAAGACCTCGCTCACCATAGGTTCCTCCCTGGAGGTGGGACATGTGGGCCTGGGTGGGGATAGGAGGAAGTTCAGAAATCTGATTGGTGGGATCTCCTGTTATTCCTGCAGGCCAGGAGGGATTTACTTCGGTTGAATGCATAATCTGATTAGCTCCTTGGTAATCATCCCATTGGATTTCTCCACACCCTTTAATCCCATTCTTGCTGAGGAAGAAACTGAAATTAAAAGTAAAATCTGGCCCTGGCTGATTTGTCTCAGTAGGTAGAGCACCAGCCTGTGGACTAAAGGGTTCCGGGTTCGATTCAGGTCAAGGTCACATATCAGGGTTGTGGGCTTAATACTCAGTGGGGGAGTGCAGAAGGCAGCTGATCAATGTTTCTCTCTCATCAATGATTCTAACTCTCCATTCCTCACCCTTCCTCTCTGTAAAAAAATCAATAAAATATATTTTAAAAAAATATTAAAAGTAATGTCTCTGCTTCCTTTCCAACGTGGGCCTAGCATAATGGCTCTAGCAAATAACAATAGAGAGAAGGAGGGCATTTGTGCCCAGAGAACACACCATCAACATCCATAAGCACATCTATGGAGTGGGTTTCAAGAAGCTTGCTGCTCTGGCACTCAAAGAGATCCAGAAACTTGCCCTGAAGGAGATGGGAACTCCAGATGTATCAATTTGAGAGGGTTAACTTGAAACAAAGGTAGGTGGAACCTCATCATTGATGTTTCTATCTCTCTCTCCCTCTCCCTCTCCCTTTCTCTCTGAAATCAATACACTGTAATTTTTTTTTTTAAATCTTAAGCCAGTCTTAGAGGACAGGGGTCAGAATGGTAGAGATCAAGGAGCTGCAGAGGGAAGCATACTCAGAACTAGAGTAACATAACTGGCTAAAAAATAAAAAATCTCACCCTAACATCCAAAAAGATCTGCTGAATCCTCGTAAAACTGTAAAGCTTATCTTAGCTCCCTTTCACCTCCCTACTTCCTCCTTTTCATGCCCTCCCAGGCACACCCAGCTCCCAACTGAAGGACTTCCCTGGGCCATCAACTCCTAATAGGACCCAGTCAAACTATCTTAGATTTTGAAGGGAATACCTCAGAATCTTTTCCATAAACAACAAGGAAATGTAAACTTATGGGAGTGGGAGGGAGGAGAGGATCTTAAGCCCTACACACTCAGCTTCTTTCTTTCTCTTTCTTCCAGGCAGACTCTGAAAGAGCCTCAAAGGACACTCTAGGAATCCTGAGAGGAGTCCGAGCCACCAATTTAGTTAACTCTATATTCACTCATTATTTTCCTTGATCCCAGTGGTTTACAATAACGTATTCAAAAATAGAAATCTGAGCAGTGTTTTGAGAACAGCAAATTTAACGCACAGATCACTATTATCAGCCCAATCTACAGCAGTTCTAAATTAACAAAATTTTTCACTTTGCTCTTTAAGTAAAACCTATTCAATGCAAGATTATCAATTCCTGTAGCAAAAAAAGTAAGCAATAAAAGCAAACAGGGGAAAAAAAGCAATTAACTGGATTTTTTTTTATTACACCACTAAAAAAAAAGAAAAAACAGAATAAGGATTTATTGCAACCTGAGGAAAAATTGTTTCCTCTATAACATAGATAAAAATTTCTACCAAGTTTTACTGATGAAAAAAGGATAGCTCTATTCATAGTACCCTTCCAACTACTCCCTAAATCACATTTTAAAATCTAAATAAAGGTTTGTTTCTAAATGGTTCCTAAAAAGTAAAAATGAGACTTTAAGGTTACAGCTTAACTAAGACAGACTGTGCAACCTTTGGAAGCTAGGAGATTTAATTTTTTCTTTTTTTTTTAAAGCAATTTTTAGCACAGGCTTCCTTCCACACAATTTCCAAAATACTTGTTTGAGAACATTCACCAAATGACTGGTAACTAAGGCTAGATTTCCATGGGAAATTACTGTTTAGGGGGCTAGAACTTCTGCATGAACCATTTTTGGGGGAAATGGTAAAAAGGTAACATCAGTTTGTGTCCAAAGCAGGTAAAAAGAGTAAGAATAAAACCCCTTGTTTTTATTTTTGTCACTTTAATGTAAGACTGAAACTGCTACAGCAATATTTGAGGTTCCACACAGAATTGCATGCTCTGGCTATTAAAGACCTTGGTTAAAGCATTTGAACTTTACTTCTTGAGAAATGAATAAGGAGATTTCAAGAATCTTTATCAGTACACAATCATTCACAACAAACTTCTAGATACTTATTTGTTTCCTACCTTTTCCTAACAAAGGTAATTCTAAACGAAACCCCACCACCATGGAAGGATTCAAAGCTCCTGAGCTCAAAGTGATCAACTCCCACAAGTAACTACAATAGTTCAAATCCCACAAGTTAGGATAGTAGTTCAAAGTTTGGTTTAAATGTTTGAAGAAGAGCAAACACCAAATACTGAATACCAAATATATTATTGTTTCTATGAGGTTATGAACCATGAACAAAAACCAGATTGAAATTTTAATTACTCAGTATCTTGGTATAAAGCAGTGGTCGGCAAACTCATTAGTCAACAGAGCCAAATATCAACAGTACTTCTTCAAAATAGACTCGCCCAGGCCGAAAACCAACTTCTGCGCATGGGCCACGAAGTTTCAATCGCACTGTACGCGCGCCCACACGTGGTATTTTGTGGAAGAGCCACACTCAAGGGGCCAAAGAGCCACAGTTTGCCAACCACGGGTATAAAGCCTTCATTCTTAATGCTTCTCATGGCATCACAGTCTTTAGAAATTAAACAATACATTTTTAGCATTCTACAGTAATCATCACTTTCAAAAACTATAATAAACATCTGCATGTTACACTAACACAATTTTCTACATAAGTATTTTGTCACATTATCAACTCTTAGTTTCACTAAATGATAAAATACAAAAAGCTACACAAGACAAAACACCACAGAATGTTTTAATATTCCCTTTCCCAGTTATTGCTGGTAGCCCTTTTTAAGAGAAAAGTGATGAAAAATCAGAAATTTTGCATCCAGTGTTTGACTTCAACTTTTTACTTTCTTATCGTCTTTTGGTACCGCCGTATCCTAAATGAAAAGAGTAAAATTTATATTATTTTTTAAATGCACTAGAATTGCTTGTAAAATTACAACATAATACATTTTATTGTTAGCAAGTGAATAGAGACATGCGAGGAGAGAATGTGAGCCCTGATGGAACAGGGCTATGCACGACAAAGTGCAGCTCCTCCCCAAAACAGCCCTCCCCATCATCCATTCATCATCAAGTCTACTCAAGTTGCTTGCAGCGAATAACTTTTAGTCCAGTAAAGCAAAGATGTAGTCTACTTTGGGGCCAATGTGGTTCAGGCAATACTCAAAGTCTAAGTCGAAAAGCATGAAAGCCAATGGAGCCCAAGCTATGTCCTACCACCTCTCACAACTCCAGGGGTAAATAGAAATAATGTGGGGAGAGTTTCAGACTTTCCAATGGCCACACATGCACATGTGCTAACGGGTTACAAAATGACAGTGTTCCCACCTGAAAAGTCTTCTTGATTTTTTTCAGGTTTCCTTTAAGTTATTTGGTAATGTTTTACTATTTTCTTCATATAAATCCCATACATTTTAGTTGATATTTATGGTTTTTATAATTTTTGTTTCCACTGAGAATGAGTTTTCTTTTGTCATGCCCTATGTAGTTACATCTATACTAATAAACGCCTAGGTGGTCCTCGCGCCCTTGAGTGCAATGTCATCACAAGATAGCTGCCACAAGATGGCAGTGCACACAGTGGAGGCGGGGCCCGGCGGCAGCTGCTCCACACAGTGAGGCCTGCGGTCCCTCAGCTCTGCCCTTATTCACTCTGCCTACTGGCCTGCTCACCCCCAAATGCCCCCTGCCCCGCCAGCCTGATCACCCACTACTGCCCTCCCCTCTTGGCCTCTAACTGCCTCTACCTCAGCCCCACCACCATGGCTTTGTCCAGAAGAACGTCCAAAAGGTCTCCTGGAAGGTCTCCCAGTCTAATTATCACATTCCCCTTTTATTAGTATAGATAGAGGCCTGGGGCACGGGTGGAGGCCGGCTGGTTTGCCCTGAAGGGTGCCCCAGATCAGGGCGGGGGTTTCCTTGGGGGGTGGGGCAGCTTGGGGGCGGGGCCTGTGGTGGTTTCCAGGCTAGCCACGCCCCCATGGGGTGAGGGTCCCCGGTGGGGGGGGGCGGGGCCAGCCTGGGTGAGGGGCTGATGTCTGTTTGCAGGCTGGCCACGGCCCCGGGCAACCCAGGCTCCCAGACCCTCCCTGAGCAAAGGCCACAGCAACTAGAAGCAGGTATCTGGTATTTATTTATCTTCTATAATTGAAACTTTGTAGCCTTGAGCGGAGTACACAGCCAGCCAGGGCAGGGGGGAAGCTTGGCTTCCTCCATCGCCAGGAGCAACCCAAGCCTCCTGTTGGCTCCAGCTCCGTGGCTGCCGCCATCTTGATTAGGTTTATTTGCATACTCGCTCCTGATTGGCTGGTGGGCGTGGCTTTGTGAGTGTAGTGGAGGTAAGGTCAATTTGGATGTTTCTCTTTTATTAGCTAAGATTAGCATCCAACACCATAGGTTAGTATTGCTTGTTTTTAAACATGTATATTTATAAATATGAATGTTGTACTCCTCTAGTATATATTCTTTTGTGCCTACTTTCTTTCTATTTGGCAAACCTATCCACATGATTGGATACAACTATGTATTCATTCTCACTGTTGCACAGTAGTCCATAGTATCAATAACTCAATTTATTCGCCCATTTTATTGCTGATGGGTAATCCAGTAAGAGGCTATTATGAATAGGGATGCTATGAACATTCCTGTACTTATCTTTTGGTATACAAGCATATGCATTTCTATTGATATATATCTGAGAATGAAATTGCTGAGTCTTGGGTTCAATTAGGTAATGCCAAACAGTTTTTCAAAGTGATTATATTAATTTATATTCACAGCAGCATTAGGAGAATTCCACTGTTACATTTCAAAACCTATTTAAATATATTCTACCAATTTCAAGAATTAATCATTGTTCTATAACTTCCCTCTGCTGAAGAAGACACTCAATATGCAGCATCCCATTATTGCCTCATTGCTTACCACCTCCCATTCTCTGCTAATTAGCTGGATGTTTAACTCCAAATAGTTGTTTTTAAGAATCTTTGCATTTTGCAAAATGTCCTCTTAGTAACTATAACATTATAATTAAAATCTTGACAATTACTTAAAATACGGTTCAATTTTTATTGAGTTTTACTGAACTTTAAAAATTCAAATTTCTACCTAGAAAATTCCCTTTTAGAACTTAAAGCAGCAGTCTCAATCTGTGGGTCATGACCCCTTGGAGGTCGAACGACCCTTTCACAGGGGTCGCCTAAGACCATCCTGCATATCAGATATTTACATTACGATTCATAACAGTAGCAACATTACAGTTATGAAGTAGCAACAAAAATAATTTTATGGTTGGGTCACAACATGAGAAACTGTATTTTAAGAGCCAGAAGGTTGAGAACCACTGACTTAAACGATCCGTAGATATCACAGAATTAAGCAAATATGGACACCAATGTCCAGGAAGGTTTCAGTTAAATCCTTGGTTGGTGGCAGAAATTTAAATCAAATCCTTGTTTGATTTTTAAAGAATGTTTAGAAGTGCAAGAAAAGGATGAATTTGAATTACATTTTAATCTCAGTTAATTATGCTATTAATATTTTTGGTGTGCATACCAAATAAAACCATGATTGCTAAATATATAGTTAATCATCTTCTGAACTTCCATATTTTTGCTCTTACCTGATGCTGTTCTGGTTTTTGTCTGTGAACTTGAACATGCTGAATAGTTACCGGAGTCTCCACAATGCGGGGAGTAAGCACGGCTACTTCCTGTGCCGAAATATGAGGGATAAGACGGGCGGTACCATGAGTCTGAAAAGGGTGTTGTTGCCCTATAAAGACATAAAAGTATATCAAGTATTTTTCTTGTGCATTTAATTTTTAAATACCTTCCTATCCCTACACTATCAGATAAAAATCTTTATTGTGTTTTTTCTTCAATATTCTGGTATATTAGGATTAACATGAATTAAATACTGTTTCATATTTCTGATATTGTTATGGTCATTGCCATGGAGGAAGAAAATGAAAGGGAGAAACAGCTTTCTTTCTGAATTCAAACTTGAATAAAATCTAAACTTAAACTACCAATAATATTGAAGACATTCCAAAATCTGACCCTAAGTTTCTTCCAGCCTTACTTCTGTCATTCTCCTACCAAACCAGAGTTCTGTTCCCCAAATACTGTTCTTTCCTGCCTATTTTCTCAGATGTCAAGTAAAGTCTTTTTCCTATCGAATGTTATCTAATAAGAATGACATAGGAAGAAGAAATATAATGAAAGAAAGTAACACACACAATATTGATCACGGCACATATAGTATACCTTTCCCCACCGCCAAAGAACCTGATTTAATAAGGGTAATTCATCATAATTTATTTTCCTTATCAAATCCAGTCAAACTATAAGCAAAACAAAGAACTCTCTAAAGAAATTTTGAATTAAAGACCAAGTGAGATAAATGCAAAGCCTACCTATTGCTGCCAAACAAATATCCTAATATTCCTCCAGTTCCCAAGCCAGTCCAGAAACCTGGTCCCGAATTTGCATTTCCTTGTTGTCCTGTGAAAGCACTGCCAAAACCGTAAGTTGCACCAGGAGTTCCTAGAAATAAAAATTATTTATTAAGTATCCTCACTTAAACAAAACATAGCCTATAGAACCAAAGATAATGGGATATTTCAATTATTTCATCTGTACTATTTTTTATTGTTGACATTGTTACAGATGTCCCCATGCCCCACTCCACTCAGCCTCTGCCCTCTCCCCCAGGCCTTCGCCACATCCATGTCATCTGTAGTACTATTTTTTACTATACTCAGGCCTCAACTTATAAACAAGTTGAATTCAAAGTGTTTTAGTAAAATATGGGTTTATAACTAATGATTTATTTTAGGATGAGGGGTCTTCCTATAAGGTCACATTTGCCCTGCTTAAGATGAGCTATTAGAAAATGACTCCCACTTATCAGAGTTACTTCCCTTCTGCATCATCAACATTTCTAAAAGCTCCAGGAGACAGCTATGTTTGAGTGTCTAATGGAGGAACCCAAGTGGAGACAGCCAGATATTTGTATCAGGTGGGAAGTCAGGTCTTAAAGGAACCAAAAGGTATCTTCTGCTCAGAGGAACTTTTTTAAAACTAATGTGTAATATACATAAAGTATGCAAATCAAACGTGTGAAACTTAATAAATTTATACATATGTACCTGTGCATGTAACCACTACTCACATCAATAAAGCATTTCTACCACGCAGAAAGCTTCTTCCTCATGACCATTCCCAATAGACACCCACCCACATCAGAGATGAGCCTTTCTCTGACTTCTTTCACCACACTTTAGTTTTAGCCATACTTGCACTCTTTATAAATAGAATCATATGGTAGGTACTCTTTTGGTCTGGTAAATCACATCTATGAGAGTCAATCCTATTACTGTATATATCAGGTTTGGGGCTTTTAAAAAATAATGTGTGGTATTCCATGGAAAGAAAGCACAATTTGTCTCATTCTAATGTTTATGGACATCTCATTTCCAGTGTTCGGCTACTGTGCATAAAACTGCTATGAACATTCTTGTGCATGATATTTTGTGTATGTATACATGCATTTCTCTTAGTATGTATCAAGGAATGGAACTACTGAGTCATAGAATAGGTGTACATTTAGGAGATACTGAGTTTTCCAATGTGTTTTACCATTCTAACTCCTACCAATAAGTTCTAGCTGACTACCCTCAGTTGACTACTTAGCATATAATGTTAGCCATTATAGTGGTTAATAATGAATTCACTATGCTTTTAATCTGCATTCTCCAGATTAATAATGCTAAACACCTTTTCATACTTTTATTGGATATCTGGATATCCGGATATCCTCTTTATTATAAAATATCTGTTCAAATCCTGTCCATTGTTAAAAGTGAATTGTCTATCTTTTCTTAGATTTGTAGAAGTTCTTTATATATTCTACATATGCACCTTTTGTTGGATATGTGTCTTATATTTTCTCCAAGTATATAGCTTGCACTCTTATTTTAAATAGTCTAATCTATCCATCTTTTCTTTCATGGATGGTATTTTTTGTGTTCTAAGATATTTTTGCCTATCCCAAGATCATGACAAATATTTTCCTACAAAAAAATAATATATATTATATATTTTTTTCCTACATTTTTATCTAGAAACTTAATTGTTTTACCTTTTATATTGAGATCTATAATACCTGAATAAATTTTTATGTATGGTGTGAGACAAAAGTTCAAGGTAAATGTTTAAAGCCCTAGCTGGTTTGGTTCAGTGGATAGAGCATCAGCCTGCGGACTGAAGGGTCCCAGGTTCTATTCCCGTCAAGGGTGCATCTCTAGCAGGTTCCTCTCTAGCCCAAGTCCTGGTTAGGGCACGTGCAGGAGGCAACCAATCAATGTGTTTCTCTCACACTGATATTTCTGTCTTTCCACCTCTCTTCCACTCTCTCTAAAAATCAATGGAAAAACACCCTCGGGTGAGGATTTAAAAAAAAAGGTAAATGCTTATTACCAAATCTGATCAAGCTTTTCTGATTAAGATGATTTATAATTTAATCATGCATCCTTAAAATAATAATCACAAATATCCTTATAAAGAAACAGAACAAAAAAGATAAAAGAAGTTGAAAGTAAAAAATAAAATGAAAAGACAAATCTGCTTGGTTTCCCTGTGGTAACCATTTTCTATTTCAGAAACTGCACAGGATTCATACCTCACACGAACCCTACTTAGTGTCATTGCCTCAGCAAACATACCTGTGAACCCTGGCTTAAAGCCCGGGGGAGGGGGTCCTGCTGAGTTGGTGAATCCCTGAAAACCGGGAGAATACGGAGGAGACTCAGAATACGGTGGAGGAGAATCTTGACCACCACCAAGGAACAACTTATAAACTCCGAAGGCAATAGCAAGTAGCACCACGATGGTAATCAGTCCACTGATGCCACTGGAATTACTTTTATAATAATCAGAGAATGGGCTAAAGCCATTGTTTTTGCCAGACTCTCTCAATTTCTTCAGGCCAAGTTCCGTGTAATCTAAGTCATACTCCAAGCCACAGGAGCCTCTTAGTACATACTGGTCTTCAGAGGATTCATAGCCTTCACAGCTCACCACAGTTTTTCCAAATTTGTATGCAACATCTAAATCAGTCTTACATTCCCACTGTGAAGAAAAGCAGAAATAAGTTATTAGAACCAAAAGGTTTTTTTTCACTTAATATATTATCATTTGGGTTATCTAACTGCCATAAAACTGCAAAATAAAGCAAAAAATGATAAAGTTCAGGACAATAAATATGTCTGCGTTGGGAGGAGAGCAAGCTAGAGGCCTTGAAGATACTGGTGATGTTAATATTCTACCACTTAAGTTAGGTGGTGGGTACCTAAGTGTTCATTTTATTATTATTCCTTCATCTTTACATATAGATGTAAGGACTTACTTTGTACATATTAAGTATTCCCTAATTTACAAATTTTAAGCAAACTTTCTAAATTTGAACTTTTTACCACTGTTGTTCAAGATGCTTTTAAAATAGGTTTTAAATGAGGAGGCTCAAAAATCAGCATCATATATGAAGCTATGGTAGTTACATACAGAAACATCAATGATGAGAGAATCACTGATCAGCCACCTCCCTCATCCCCACATTGGGGAGCAAGCTCGCAACCAAGACAACATGCCCCGACTGGGAATTGAACTGAGACGCCCCTGGTTCACAGACCATGCATAATTATCATGCTGATGGAAGTGGCAATTGTCAACACAAGTTTCTTGCAAATAACCAACTATCTTAAATTCTTTTGAAAGCAGGCAGAATACAAAGTAGAAATATATTAGTATTGATTTAAATTGAATTCATTCAATAAACTTCTAAAGAATAAATTTTGGAACTTCAAAAAGATGGTCCAACCTAAGTACAAAATGCCAGTTCCAAAGACAACAAATGAAGCCCATGGAAATGCTTTTGTGCAGGAGCAGCCACCCTCAGTTCTAAAACAACTTTAGAATCAAGTGTGTGAAGCACAAAAGGGACACATATACCCCATTTACAACCTACAATTCCTTATCATCTTAACTTTACTTCTTAAGGGCAGGTTGGTACCTGAGGAAATGACATAAAAATGACACCCAGGAGAAATCCTCTACTCCCCCCAAGTATGTGAAAAGCTTTGAAAATTTACTAACGTCTTGAATATTCCCAGGCTTTAAAATCAGTTCATTTCTTTTGGCGCATGTTTCTTCCAGAGAATAAATGACTGATTTACGTCTATATATTTTAGGTTAAACTGAGATTTTCTATATATTCTTCTCCAAAATACTGAATAATGTCCCGATAAACACTTTATTAAATAAAAATCCCATTTAGACGGACATCAATGTAATGAATATTACCTGTACATCGTAACCATCCCAGCCTTTGTTCTGGCACTGTATAACTTTTGGAGTATAAGTATCACATCCAGCTGTGCCTCCAACACATCTCAGCTGTGGAATCGGACTCAGCCTACGGGAGGTGGTATAGCGATCATAGTGGAGGGTAAGAGCTTGTATATCCCGCAACAATATTCTGTCTGAAATCGTAAGAACACAGATAACCATATAGTAAATACCTTGCCAAACTTAAGACAGTTAAATAAAACTCTTGTCATATTAAATACTCTGAAAAGTAAGGGTCTTTCTCGTCGTTTGAGGATGACTAAGAAAGAGAAGAGGAAACACTCTCCCAAAGCCATACCAACAGCGTTCAGGCTTCTTGCACAAAATTCAGGTGGTCACACCTTTAAGGCCCCCCTTCATCAATTCAGGGTGGATAACCCCTAAACTGCTTATATGCTGAAATATACTATGGTACAACAACATCAACGGATACTTAAAATAGCAAAAAATATACATCAATGTTTCTGAAGCACAATTAAAGACTTAAGTGCTAACAGGTGAATAACTTAATAAAATTTTGCTTTATTCATACCATGGAAATATTCTACAGTAGTTAAAATGAGTGAACTGGAACTCATGAATCAGACTAGAAATAGTAACAACATTTATGCAAAATGCAAGTTGCAGAATGTTTAGTATGACAGAATTACATAAACCTTGAAAACAAGCAAAACAGTACTACATACTGTTAATGTTTACATAATAATGTATATAATGTATATATTATGAAAGTATGGGAACACAAACAAGAATAATTAAACTCCAAATTCAGATGAGAATCTCTGAGGAGAGACAGAGAGAAGAGGCTTTAACTAGCTCTCTATCCCTAATGTTTTATTACTTTGGGGGTGGGAGATTTGCTGCCAAAATGATAAAATGTGAAGATTCAATAAAAATGGGTGGTGGGTATATATGGGTGTTCATTGTGTACATGTTTAAATATTTAAAATATTTCACAACTTTAAAAGTCAAAACATTTAAACTGTTTTACAAATTAAAAATCACATTGACAAAGAAGTTTAACCCCTATAGTGCCAGGGAGCACGAGTGCGCACTCCTCCTGTCTTTCGCCAAAAGTGCCGGGAGCGCTATCGCAATTTTTTTTTCTATTAGTATTTTATAATACAATCAGCAAACAATATATGTCAAAAATGAAAACAAATGTAGTAAAGGTTTCCTTAAGTTTTTGAATATGTAACTTCATTTACTTGTGATTCATAATTTTTTTCCTAAACTGCTGTAAAATCAGCAAAAATGCCTTGGCAATTTTAGCATAGTTCCTAGGATATTGGTTGGCACTCAAAGGGTTAAGAATAAAAAATCAAGACGAGGACATTATGTCTGGCATTCATTACATAAATGAATTTTAAAGTGTTATTGGAAAATAGTCTTCCTACTTATCACCCTTGGATTATGATGGAAGATGACTGTGGACTGGTTCATTCAATATCCATTTCACCCTCAAAATGACAGCCTCCTTGCAAAGCTAAGAGGATTCCAAAAACTCTTCCAGCTGTAGTTCCCAAAACAGAAACTCCAGGCAGGTGTGGCAAGCAGACTGTGCAGTGTGGGTCCTTCGGCAAGCAAGCAGTCGTGGGGGCTCTGGGTTTCCTGACAGCGCTCCCGTACCCCATAATTAACTCCGTGGATGTCAAGAGGCTTGATGTGAGCAACCCACTTTTCATTGCTGTATGTGGCAGGCATCACTCTCTACCATTTTGTTAGGACCTAATTTCCTATATTCAACATGTCAAATTATCAGAATTTTCTACCACCCAAATTCTACTAAAACTATAATAAATTGATTGTTTTGATGATGTGAACGAACGACATCATGTAAAACAGAAAAGGAGATGGCAAAGGAATTTGGAAAGGTGCAAGCCTACAGGAGGTATAATGGTAGGTGAGTAGATGGACATAAAAGCCAAATGCCAGACCAGGAAGGCAGAAAACTGAGAACCAATGTGACATAAATAATAGAAGCCCTAAAAATAATAATAAAACAGGGAATTGGCAGGTCAAAGCTTCCTGAAAAGAAGCTACATCCCAGAACCTCTCCCCAACTCTGTGCTGCTGCCACTGCCCCTTCTCCACCAAGGAAAATGTCTGGAGAGGGTAAAACCCTAGAGCTCTGTACTAGGGGATATCTGGCACAATAGAGAGCATAGGTACAAAAACATAAAAGGGATTCCAGTAACTGCATGACTCTGAAAGCTGAAAGCATGAACCTCTTTCCCCACCTGATTCACAAAACACTAGCAACCATTCCCTGGCCCTCTGAGTGAGTGACTGAAAGTCTATTCCCTTTGTAACCTAACCGAAAAAGAAATATTTAAATATACTAACATCAGGAGTTCCCAAACGAAGAACTACCCAAGCATCCCTATGGTCACCAGGTCACCCCACTGTAAAGTTCAAAGTTCAAAAGCAGTAATCATACACTAATAGCTTCCAATCAGCTTTTTGGTTCGCACCCTTGATTTAGAGCAGACAGCCAAGAATTACTATGAGGAAAGCCCCTAACATAGAATACAACCCCCTTGATTTAGAGCAGACAGCCAAGAATTACTAAAAATTATGAGGAAAGCCCCTAACATAGAATACAACTACCACAGAAACACTTTGGAGGAAAGAGAGACTATACTGAGAGAAGAAAACTGTTTAAAAATTTTTTAAAGCTATGATATCCTCAAAGTTACTATAAAAGAACACTCAGAGAACAAAACAAGAGCTCTTGGAAATTCAAATCAGGGCAGCTGAAATGAAAAACTCAATAGAACTATTAAAAGTTAAAGATAAGAAAATTTCCTAGAAAACAGAGCAAAAAGATGGAAAGTAGGAGGGGGGTAGAAAATCTGCTGCTTAAGTTAAAAAACATAGGCATTTCCTATCACCAAATCACAATGCAATATTGGTACACTGCCCACCAGCCCTTAACATTTTTACTCCGTAGAGCAAAAATGGAATTTTAAACGTTTAAACGGCATTCTTTAATTCCAATTAAACAGCACACATCATTTATTAAGTGGAAATCTGTATGTATGTGATATATATACACACATACATATATTAATTATAAGTAATATTATTGATCCCACAAAAATTCGTTAGAGAAGTCTAATAACATAGTAATATAAAAGAACCTTTTCCCTAAAAGTCACATCATGTTCCATCACACACACAAAAATTATAAGATGAAAATACTTCTTCTATTCCAGAATAGGGTGAAAAACAGAAGAGCTAGCGTCACGCAATGTGCTTCACTGTAATGGTCACAATAAGAAGCATGAGTTAAGCTCAAATATATGATCTGCTCACCTACCTACAGGCTTGCTGCCCTATCCCTTAAGTGTGACTCCGACGCTGACAGTGTCAAGGAAACTGCCAGCCCTAGCAACAGGCAGCCATGACAACAGCCAGCGACATCAGGTAGTCATGACAACAAAGCCAGAAGCGCAGGTGAGCCTTGAGCTTTCCCCGCCAGACACCCGGATGTGGGCCGTTGCCCGAGAAGTGACGTTGGACAATTTCTAGGAGTCCAGGGAAGGAAGGGACGTTAAGAATACAGAGTCGTTCCGTCCCACCAACTCCTCAACGGTCCCCGCTCTCCCGGCGGAGGTCTGGGAAGAGAAAAGGCACCTATGAATAGTGAAGGGGATGAAAATGAGGAATTAGGGCAGAAAAGCTCAAGGGAACGAAAATGGTCGCCCGCAGGGCCTCCCAGAGCAGGCGCAGGGCGGCAGGCAGCAAGAGGCGATGAAGACAGTACTCACTAGGGTCGTTCCAGCCCAGGGCAGGGCCTGCGATCAGAAGCAAAAGGAGGCCGAGAAGAGGGCAGCGTCTGTCCGCTCCGGGCCCACCGGCCGCGGCCATGGCGCTGGGCGAAGGTGGTGCGCGGCTACCAGGCACTCGCGGACCGGAACCGGGGCTGTGGAAATCCGCGCGCAGATGCTCAGTGACGCCGGGAATTCCAGCCGCGGAGAAGGGAAGGTGTCTGTCCACAGAGCCTCGGCCTCCAGGAAGGTCCGCGCCTGCGTCACGTCACTGCCGCTACTGCGCGCTTGGGAGTCTGGGTGAGCGCTGCTGGCCCCGCCCCTTAGTGCGACAGGGACAGGGCCCCCTCGTTGGGGGCGGAGCCAAGTGAATGATGCAACTCTGTGGGTGGGGCCAAGGAGATCGCCTAGGTGCGATGGTCAGAGTGAAGCCTTCCCAACGCAAAATCGATGTGTGCAGTCGAGTTATGTATTCCCAAAATCTCAGTAATTGCCCCCAGGGAAGTTATTGTGCCTTATTCAACTTTATGTCTTCAGCATCTAGCATAGCTCCTGGCTCATGATTCGTATTCTATTACTGTTTGCTACAGAGAGAATTTGAGGGAAAGGTAGCATGGAAATATAGTC